AGGTAAGATTGTGAATATTTATTCACCCCTTCTTAGAAACTTAAATGGAATTCAGTCTTATCAATTAGTGTGTGGAATTCTGAGCTAAAATACCAATACATAATAACTTCAGTCCTCCAAATTTCTTCCCCACAGCCAAATTCATATTCATTAAATCCTTCGCCCTTGTTGAGCAGAGGATGCAAGAATACATTAAAAATCATAATATTAGCAGAATAGGATTTGCAAGTCAATCTGTCCTATTATGGATGCAGTTGTAAAGTTCTAACCTTCTGTGTTCTTGGCCACACTCTGTGCAGGCTGGGAATGCTTCTCCCTGATAGATAATCAGCACCACGAAAGGCAGTAAGTGCTTGTAAAGCACTGTCATTCCTTGTTTACTGTCCTCACATTTAGTGTTGCCTACACATATATGCAGGTACACGCAGGAGTGAAGGCATATATTCACTCCCCCCCGCCCTGACACACACACACACACACACAACTCCACTTATAAATACAAAAAACACAGATAAAATGCAAAGGTAGGAATACAGTTTTCTAGTACCTAAACTATAAATTCTTTTTGCTTTACTTTTTAAGGTAGAATGTGGGCCAACATGCTTTTTTTTATTATTTTTAAAGGGGAGGGGTTTATTTTGTTTACATTTGTTTTATTTAGCATACTTAGTCAAAGGAAATTTCAGAGTAGAAATAATCTAAGATGCTGGCATTTGTGAATACTTTCTTCTCAGACTATCCTGAGTGAAACCTGTGGCTATTAGATCTGTCAAAGCTTCATTAATCTCTTCTCTCCTGCTGCCTGCCTACCTTTGACTATTGCACTGCTAATTAGCCTGAGAGCAGGTGGACAGAGAGAGAGATGCTGTTACTCTCTATTCATTCTCTTCATAGATGTGGTTTGGAAGAGGGGTAAATAATATGGGGAAGTATGGTTTGCTGCTGTTTTAAGATTTTACTGATCTCTCTCAGTCTCAATACATTGAGGTCCAGGCCTACCTTAAGATACCAAATTACTAATAATGTACATTCTTAGTGATCAATCTTTTGATTCAATTCACTTTCAATAATTCAATTGATGATCTACCAATACAAACAGCAAACAAGTTATTAAAAATGTGATAAGTGAGGAGATCCAAGATGGTGGAGTAAACACTGTGCCTGTGTCCTTCCATAAATACATTAAAATTACAACTAAATTATAGAACAGTTAACCTGGAAAACCATCTGAAGTCTAGCTGAACAGAAGTCCTATAACTACAAATATAAAGAAGAAGCCATGTTGAAACTTATAGTCAGGGGAGAGGCAGAACAGGCCCCAAACCTCTCTGTGGCAGTTGAGAATCAAGAGGGCTATCTCAGCTGTGAAGGTTTCCCCCTGGAGCAGCGAGGAACCCCAGTTCTCCACACCGGGCTGCCCAGCCTGGAGTACTGGTGCCCCCATAACATCTGGCTGTGAAAAACAGTGGGGATTCCAACAGTTTGGGTGGGACAGAAGGCTGTGGGAAACCCAGACATCCTCTTAAATGGCCCACGCACAGACTCACTCATTCGCAGGCACTCACCTTGGGCTCCAGCGGACAGACAGTGCCTCGGAGACATATAGGGGGCAGGCTGAGGAGTGTGACTTCAGTGGGAGGACTGGAAGACAGTTAGGATTTTCCCATGAGGGATCCTTCTCCTGAGCAGCTGGTAGATGGGCGCCATCTTTCCTGTGTTGAACCCGCCCCCACAGGCCAAATCTAAATCTTATTGGCCTAGTGAGCTCTGCTGCTCCTCCCTGCTAACTCACTGGGACCTCGCTGCACCCAACCTGCACACTGCTGGAGGCACTTTTTACACGAGCAGCCAGCCCCTCCCTCATTGCACTCTTTTTTGGAAAACTATCACAGTCTACAGGCCCCAGATGTCAGTGTGCTCTGAGACTTTTGCTGAGTCACTCCAGGCTCAGTACTGGTACTAAAGCAGAGTCTACATTAACCTGGTGACCACTATTCCCACTCTAGTGATTCCCTGAGACCCTGCTTTATTCAATTCATGAGCTGCACGAGGCTTTATGAGTGACTGATCCTTAAGGGAGCTGGCAGGTGGCAGCAGGCCTCCAGGTGTACTGGCTTTTTGCAGTTACCACAGGCCTGGTATTGGTTGCAGCTGTCCTCAGTTCATATCATGGCCTCTCCCATGTGCGTCCAGGTTGAGCACAGGCAGTGAACAACTGATAATCACTTTGTAGCTCCTACCAGGTAGCCCCTGGCCAGTCACAGGCAGTGGCCGACCTGGGCCTGCACTGCAGCCCCTCCCAAGAGGCCCCAGAACCAACATACTTGGAGGTTGGCATAGTAGAGTAACTCCCAATTAGTCCCATATGTAGGACACACAAAGGGGGTCTCAATAGTCACCAGAGCCCACTGGGGCAAATCCCACCAAGTGGGATAAGCCTTTCACACAGCAGCCCATAAGCTGTGGATGTGGCCAAACCCCACAGCCAGTCAGCCTGAGGGTCAATCTCATCCACTGACATGTTAATACCAATCAAGGCTCAACTATAACAGGAGAGTACACACATCCTACACAAGGGACACTCCTGAAGTACCTGACTCCAGTGACCAGGGAGACTCTGCCATTGGCCCCCACAGGACACCTACTACATAAGTCCACCTGGCCAAGACTGGGAGACAGAGCAGATCTACTTAAAACATAGAAACATAGAGAGGCAGCCAAAATGAGGAAACAAAGAAATGCATTCCAAATGAAAGAACAGGAGAAAAATCCAGAAAAAGAACTAAATGAAATGGAGGCATGCAACCTACCAGACAGAATTAAAAACAATGGATGCTCAAGGAACTTATAAGGATGCTCAAGGAACTTAGTGAGAACTTCAACAAAGAGATTGCAAGAAAAAACAAAAAACAGATACAGAAACCCCAAAAAAAAACCAGTTAGAAGTGAAGAATACAATAGCTTAAATGAAGAATGCACTGGAAGGAATCACCAGCAGACTAGATGAAGCAGAGATTAGAATCAGTGATTTGAAAGACAAGGTAATAGAAAACACTGAATTGGAACAGCAAAACAGAAAAAAGAATTTTAAAAAATGAGAATAGTTTAAGAGCCCTTTAGGACAACATCAAACATAACAACATTTGCGTCATAGGGGTACCAGAAGGAGAAGAGAAGAAGCAAGAGATTTAGAACTTATTCTAAATCTTCTGGTACAGAACTATAACCTACAGTGCATGTTGCATTTGCCCATCTCTAAATTATAGAATATGCTTTTTGCTAATGTTGAAAATGATGAACTAGTAAAGTAATTTTATAACTTTAAGTCAAATTCTGATTTTAATATCTTTTAAAATAATTTTGCTAGTTTTATTGTTCCTGTCAGAATTATCTTGTAGAAATTTTAAGAGTTATCAAAACTGGTTGTTCTCTGTCAAAATTGCTGAATCAGTCTTATAATTTCTATTAACTTATTTTGTAAGGTGAGGAAGATCTGTGAAACAGGAGCTATTTTCAAGCCAACCCTAAGCATATTCCTTCCTCCATCCTTCCTCCTAATTTGTAAGGTCAATGATATCAATCTCTTTGACTAATAGCAAATCCTATCTGTATGAAATCAGCTTATCTAAATACATTAGGGATGCCCAGCAGGCCCATTTCATGGAAATTTAATTACTAAATAACTTTGTGAGGAGAAAATCATGATGTCATAGCCACTATTACTTTAAAACTAAATGAATAAATCTTTAGATCAGTTTGCTTTTGCTCTTTCCCTGGTTAGACCTCAAGTGGCCATCTTTCTGTTAAATTTTGGCCTTCAGAGCATCACCAAAGCCAGGGCGTAAGACTGATGGCAGATGATGGGGTTAGGGATGTTTTAATAAAGTATAAAGTTAGCAGCAACCCAGCCTTATGAGGTTTAAAGGTGTTTCCTCTAAAACTGTTCAGAATTCGGTGATAGGAATCAGAACTATTATGTCTTTAGATAATATTCTTAGTACAAATTCTTAGTACAAACAGAAGTTTGGGGACTTCTGTTTACTATGCTAGTATATTTTGTTTAATTACAAATATTTCTAGACAGTAAAATAGCTGTTGGGAGGTCACATCAATTTTAAAAAAGTAATTTTGACACAGGCATTTACCCTACTCTCTATTGGAAAAACACTTCTATTTGATGGATCTTTATTTACTCTGGTTGTGGAACTGGAAATCTGAATTGTGAGCATTGCTAGGATGACCATCTATGAAAAGCGTGGTAAGCATGGCTCAGACTTGCGCTATCGCTTCTCTCATTTTCCCCTTCACATTTTCAAAGGAAGCCCTTTCCAGCATGCTCACGTACGTTCATGATGTACCAAGACTTCCTCATCAAAGGGAAGGGGTATCTTATGAAAAGATCTAACATAGAAAAGCCTTTTAGGAAAAAAAAAATAACAGTATGTTTATAAAATGTGCTTATTAATTCTTAAAACTTCCAGGTTTTCATCTCAGCGCTTCCCTATATTTTGTGGAATGAAAGATTTTGCCTATTGTTAAATAGCTGTATCAGCAGAGAAAATGAAAGAATATCTGGTGGGAAGGTGAAGCGAGGGGCACAGCCATGGTGAGCAATTGTCTCTGAAATTTTTCTTTGCACAGCCCCGAAAGGCACTTGCAAAAATTAGGTAGTTATGACAAATATTTTCATGATGGTAATGTGCTCTGCTCTAGTTATGTAGTAGTCTTGGATATTTCTCAACCCCTTCAATCTTGGTTTCACCATTTATGTAATGAAGAGACAAGATTAGGTAGTTTTTAAGCTTACACATAGAAATAAAATCATGCATGTTTCTGATCATATTGTCAGCCATACAAAGGACAGGTTTGTAACCGAGATTGTTTCATTCTTAGCCACCTACCCCACCAGGTTTCAGCACACTGCTATTTAGATGAGAAAGAGCACATCTTTCATATTCCCTAGACAGTTCAAATAAAAATAACTGATGTTTGACAAGAAGGAAAGACTACTGATCTTATTTATTTTTGTTATTTTGAATGAATGAAGATAAATAAAAAGTCTCTAGGTTAATAAACTATACTAGCATAATTATTTATGATCAGTAAAGCAAATATCAGACTCCATGTCAGTATACATGAACTTTACGGAGCAGAGAGTTATCCTTTTAAAGATTTTAATATATACTTAAAAATGGACAATTTCATATTACATAATTATATAACATTGATACTGTCAGATATGTGGATGTATATATTTTTCTTTTCAGTAAAATAGTTTCATGCTTATAAAAGTCACCCGAAGTCAACTTGGGACAAAGAGAACAACATACAGTAAAAATAAAGTAAGTAGTAAATAGTAAAAGTAAGGAAAATATTATAAAGCCATTACATTGTTGACACAAAAGAAAAATAAATAAATACACTTTTCTATTATTTGAAGGCAATTCACAATCATTTCCAGGAATTCTGTGAGAATTTAAGGCCATTTGTTCTAAAATGCTTTAATTTGGACACAACATCACAAAACTGTAATTCTTGAAAAACTGTACATGCAAAAACTCTTTACAAGTAACTGTGGACAGGCAGATTAGTATATAGGAGTGGGTTATTTCACAAATGGGTTGTGCACTAAGTCACTGGGAATTTCACACAAATCTCCGGCCTGTGCACCTTGTGTGGCAATGTGGAAAGGTGATAAGGAATCCAAGAGAACCAGTATCCCTTTGAATTAAAATATCTAGATAAGGTACAATGGAATAAAAAGTTTAAAACGTCTGCTACATGGTTCATAGTTAAATATTCTGGGGTTTAGTCTTTCTAAATAGCATACTATAAAGATGCTATTTTTTACACAGAGCATTTTTCTGTGCATTTACAGTTCACAATGTTTTGGCTTTTTAAAAATTTCTATTTAGCATCACAAAACATAAACTGACTGCAGTCTAAATTTAGAACCCAAACTCCATGAAAAATGTATGTTCTTACAGGATACACATCTGCTAAGCTTCAACTTCCGTATTTGGCCAACTCGGCATAGGAACTGATTACTAAGCAGGTGGAAATTCATAAGATAATTCACATACTGAGAAAAATACAAAAGTATTTTTCCTTTCCTTTGTTTGCAATTGTATTTGTCCAGACAGTCATTCAAAGAGATATTGCTCTTGTGATTATAGCTATTGTAATTTGAAGACAAAGGATTCAATATTCAAAACTCGTAGTCTTAAGAACAGTTATAAAAGTATTGAAATTTAAAAAGTAGTAACATGTAAACATTGATACAGAGAGACTGCTTTCCTATACACAAAGCAGTCGAGGACAATATTTGAGTTAAAAACATAGTTTGTGCTTTTTTCCAACAATACAATGGAAATTAGCTGTTTTTGTCCAAAAAAAAAAAAAAGTGAAGATTCAGAGAAGACACCCATATTTTGCTTCAAGCATTCAAACATTTTTTCTGTTGCTCATGCAACAACCATATTTACAGTTTTGGTTTAGGAAGAGAATTCATTTTGGATCCAGAAAGCAGATTAACCAGTACTGCTGAAACCAAACGGAGAAAAGTTTCTCATTCCCTGGTTCATAACTGAGCACCAGGAGCAAAGCTTGACTCAGCAGTTCTAACTGACGTGCACTTAACATTAACATTTCTGAGCACGCTCATATCTGAGTCTGTAGCACGTGAGTAGGCGGGGTGTACGGGGGAGGCGCAGGCGATGGCTTGATTCCTCGGGCCCTCATGTAGGAGAGAAACTGCTCCGGGATCTCAGCTAGGACGTCTTTAGCCAGTCTCGCCATGCTCAGTATGTGGTTTCCGCTTCTATCAATATAATCCCTGAAGGGCACGAACTAAAACAGAGGTGTAAGAATTTCACAGACTTTAGTATGCTATTTCATAGACACAAGAATTAGCACATATAGTTGGTTGGTTATAGGAGTATCAGAGAATCCTGGAGTCATGGTGACATGGGTAATAATTACTACACATTTTAAAGATACATGATTCATTACGGACAGCTGTAACAGTGACCAAAACTTTCTAATATGTACCTTATCTAAAAAGGGATGTAACTGTTTTTTACTCCCCTCCACTCTCACCCCCCACCCCCGCCCCGCCCCTTCCGTAACTCATGTCTCCTGGTCCTGATAGGCCCACCTCCTTGCTATGTGTGTTAGGCAGTATTGAGTTCTCTATCTAGGCTGACTCCCAACAGGATATAGCAGCATTAAACATTTTCAGGGCTCAGTCTCCTGTCAAATGGAACTAGTACATACCTAATTCAGGTTTTTATCCAGAAATATTACCCAATGCAGGGTGAGAAAAACAGTGTTTATTGTTCAAGATTCCCAAACATGTGTACTTTTCATTATTACTAGACATCAAATCATACAGACATATGAAATTCACACAGTTCTTATTAGTAGGAACCTAACATATTTAGTACATTGAGTCTTGCCCCAGTGTTGATACTGAAATACCACCATTCTTATTTTTACATCGTGTAAAAATGATTGCTCTATCTTTACACAAGTAATTACATGACAGCCCTTATCAGCTCAACACCAAATACTCTGGCGATAGATTGCCTGATTCCATTCTCGTGATCGCTCAAGTTAATAAACACAGTGTTGTTTGAGGACATTAGTTCAATTTCCCCTTAGAGACATGACGATTCTTAAAACAACTTGGAAATGATTGGAACTGCTAATGAATGTTGTGATCGTCTGGGAACACAGTAATTTTTGGTCTTAGAGGAAAGGCACAGTGAAGACATTTTAGGATGTCGAAAAATTTCTAAGTATAATGTTTTAAATTTTAAATTAAATCATTTTCCCCCAAAGAAAGTGAGCACACTCCCATCTCATACAGTAACATAACTATTTTAAATTTATTTTCAAAAACTTACTCTTGATTTAAACAGTTACTCATGAATGTGCTTTCAGAAAACAACTGTTACTAGGAAGCAGGCTTTAAAATAGTCAGGTTGTTATAGGTAAACCAAGTTAAAATGTTAAGAAATCAAATAGCAAGGCGTAATAGCTTTCATGCAGTGAAAGCAGTCTCTTTTAAGGAAGAGTAGAAAATCACTCCTTTCTTTTTAGAATAAGACACGCTATAGGAAAAGCAGGATTATAATTTTACCCCATCTGTCTCAGAAGGAAAACTCAGCACAGCTTTTAGAAAAGTGTCATGGAATAGAGAGTGGGACTGGAATCAATGGAATTGTAATAGATAAGCATGATATCGAGAGTGGGAGGGCAGTACATGGGGGGAGGGGGGTTGTTACTTTGTGAGGGTGAAAAGGATAACTATTGCATTGTTCTGTACACCTGAAACTAACAATAAAAAAATTTTTAAATAAATAAATAAAAATTATATATGGATTTTTGAAAAAAAAAAAAAAAAGAAAAGTGTCATAGAAAGGTAACAAACCTTTCTCTTACCCCTAAAGGTAGCTAAGAAAGGGTACAAAAAAACAGAGCAAATATAATCTCAGTTGAGACGAGGACTAGGGGAATGTGAACTTCTGTGAAGTCATATTAACTATGGACAAGACTTGGCATTTTAAATAAAAAATCAAAGAGGTTACGGTGTATTTTCTCTGTGAAACTATAATTAGAGAAGTGAGAAAATAAGAAAGAGCATAGTTAAGGATTAATGAGAAAAAGATGTCTAATTGTAGTGATAGTGTATTTCATCCTGATTTTAAAGGGTCTATGATTTTAAAAATTAACACTTAGTAATGTTGGTACGGTTAGCATACATCTAATGATCTTTTAAGCGATTTTTAAAAAAGAGTTCATTTTTTTCAAAATGCATAGCCAATACCTACATCTCAGGAAAATGGTACTTCTGTGGAGAAGGAGATCTCACCGGCCTAGTCATTCTTTTACCTTAACTTAGCTTTTTTATATTTTTCTTGATTCTTTGCCTTTCATCTACACCAGGGACATTAAGCTAATTTACCTTTTTACCACTTATTCTCACAAACTCGGGAATTAGATGTCCCAGGTTCAGAGGTTGGCTACTTATTTAGCAACATGATCTTGGAAAAGTTACTTTCCACTCTTTGCCTTGGTTTCCTTTTCTATAAAATGAGGCTAATAATAATACCTACGTCATTAGGTTGTTGTATAAAATAAGTTAACATGGAACGTGCTCAAAACAGTATTCAACTCATAATATATACTATATATGATAGTTGTTATCATCATTACTATTCATCAATTTATACATTTACATATTCAATATAAATGTGAAACTATCTTCTTAATAGTTTTCTATGTACACTCATATCAAACATTATAGACAAGGAATATTCTTATCTGTTTATCTCTTTCAAATTTAAGTACAATATTAGAATTGTGTAACCTAAAGTAATAATTCCTGGCCTTTTTGAAATTTTTGAACACCTATTGTTTCACCTTTCCAGCAAATTTAATCAGATGTGTTAAATTTTTTTAATGAAGTAAATTAAAATTCATTTTTAAGAATGTTATGATTCTCTGGAATGTCAAAACTAAAAATCACAATTACTGTTCTCACAATGTATACAGTTCTACTCATTTAAAAGTAATTTTATAAATAGTGGGTAAGAAAGAAATACGTATTCCATTTAACTTCAGTTTGTTAAGTGGGGGCACAGATATACCCCTTGAGGATTAAGGAAACTTGTCCTAGGTTAAAAATCACTATCATCGGGCTGGCCGAGTGGCTCAGTTGGTTAAGAGCTCGCTCAAGGTTTGAGCTCTGAGCAACAGCGGTTCGATTCCTGGCCCAAGCTGAGCAGCTGCTGAGCTGCCAACAGGTGGCAGGATGGCTCAGCTTAAAAAAAAAAATCACTATCATAGCAAGTTACTGTTATCCACAGGAGTACATTTCATCCCACATGTGTGTTGGATATAGGGAAAAAAAAATGTGGAGAGCTTTCTACTTAGGAACCTAATTTATCTAAACCTTTTCCAAAGGAACATTCATTGATTCAGTCATGTCAGGAGGTACCCTCCTAAGTGAAAGACGAAAATGACAAGTTATTCTTCATTTCCTTTACCTGTTATTAATGTCAAATCTTAAAGTTTTCATGAAAAACAAAATGCCCTCTTTCTCCTTAAACTATTGCTCATATCCTTCTACAGTCAGTTGTTCATTCAACCTTTTAGACCACTCTGTTTATTGTCCCTTTTAGTCACTCACTGCTGATTACTGTACCTGGGGACCTCCTGTTCAAAATAACGCCCACACACCTGTAAATACAGGTTGATCATTGACTATTATGACCAGTTAACTTGGACTCTTAAAATGCTCAGGTTAGAGGAATAAATCCACTTTCACTTTGCACTAATTTATCACATTCATATGAAGAATACTCATAAATGCATTCTCTTCCATAGAATTATACTATATCCTCAATACTCCACATCTTTCTCTTAGCATCCATCAACCACAAGGAAAATGTACCTGATGGCTGCTCTACCAGGCGGCTTCGCCTATTTGTGAAAACAAGTTTAAATCAGTTTGGGCAAATGGGCTTTTAGTTGTGGCTCTGATCAATTTTACTTGATTTTTCCTACTGTGCAGAGCTCCATTAGTGATTTTCTAGCTAAGCCTTCAAGGTTATTATTCACTTTTTAATGGAAAATATGATTTAAATATAATTTTTAAGGAAATGATAGCCTGGCCAGCAGCTGCATGCAACCAAGAGAAATGACATTGGCCAATCCATAGCACAAGCAAGGAAACAAATAGAAAGTACACACACACACACACACACACACACACACACACACACACACACACACACAGTGCCAAAACAATGTATACACATTTTAAGAAAGGCAATTAAAATTATAATACTCAATATATACCAATAACAAAAGATGAATACAAGTCACGTTTGACTTCTGCAATTACAAGAGGAGCTCAAAGGGGTTACCATCAGCATCCAGACACTTCTGATTACGGTGAACTACTGCTTGAGCAACGCTGACCTAAGTATCCACTTGTATACATGTTTGTGGCACCCTCTGTATACACATACACACACACACACACACACACACACACACATACATTGATCTAAGAAAATAACTCATTTAAGTTTTAGAACAACCACCACAGGATCTCATCCTGCTTACTGTTTATACTATAGTCATATGAGATTGAATCTTGAAGCAATGAATATAGTCACACATAAGGCTGACTACAGTGTCATATGTCAAGGGACAGCCACTATAAAAGTGACACAAAATGCCTTTCCACTGGATTATGCCAAATACTAATTAATCATAATAACTGATACTGATATGGATGCATTTATTGAGCAACCAGCGGTGGGAAGCCTTCTGCTGAGGGATTCAGTACAATAGTTTACAATGTTTAATTTTTATAAGCACATTATCCATATTTTGAAACTACAGAAGAGGAAAATGAAACTTAGAGACTTGACTTAACTTACCCAATATCAGATAGTTATAAGTATCAGAGTCATTATCTGAGCCCAAATCAATCTGACTCTGATACATTAACCATGACAGTAAGATGAAAATGGGAACAGATCCTAATAATCTTCATTAGAATTTTGCCTTTTGGGAGAGTCCGTGTGTTATCATAGAAAGAACACAGGTTTTGAAGTCAGAGCTCTGTTTGAACGTTGGATCTACCAATACGTGACCTAAACAACTTTGCAAAAGTTGTTGTTTAACACCCCATCTTGCACCTCAGTTTCTTCATTTATAAATTACTACAAGGCAAAAACTAACCAGTATTTTTAGGAAGACATAAAGTGACACATGAATAAAGTGAAAAAAAAAAAAGGGGGGGGGACAATTAGTTCAAGTGTGCAGAGAAAGGGCTTTGTGAGAGGCTGTATAGTGGGAAATTTCAGAGTGTAGGATTTTAATCAGCCCAATGAGGAGGAAAACTATTTGAGTAAAATGACAAGGGAAAATAAAGCAAGAGCAGTGGAAATGTGTGATGCAAACACAGTTAATAGTCCTATTTGTCTAGACAGAGTGTGTGTGTGTGAGTGTGTGTGTGAGTGTGTGTGTGTGAGTGTGTGTGTGTGTGTGTGTGTGTGAGTGTGAGTGTGTGTGTGTGTGTGTGAGTGTGAGTGTGTGTGTGTGTGTGTGTGNGTGTGAGTGTGTGTGTGTGTGTGTGTGAGTGTGTGTGTGTGTGTGTGTGAGTGTGTGTGTGTGTGTGTGTGTGAGTGTGTGTGTTTATACCTAAAGAGGAAGATATGGGTCAGGTCTGGAGACTCTTAAATGCTATATTTAGGTTTTGGAATCAAATTTTATTTGTTAAGAATTTTAGAATCAAACATTTTAAGATTAAATCATGACTCCACTTCTTACTGGCTACATGACCATAGACAAGAGAAATTAAACCTCATTTCTTCTTTTCTAAAATATGCTAATCAAAGTACCTGTCTCATAAAGTCAATTAAGGATTGACTGAGTGAAGTAATGCTATGCTCTTAGCCTACCTAGCATGGTTAATAAGTGATTAAACATTATTATATGAAGAAGTCGGATGCTACTTAAGATTTGACATAATAATGAAAACCCCAGCTACTGCCCCCAATTTTCTGCTGGAACTCAGTTACCTACTATTATTAGCAGTCTTGGGGTTTTGTCCACTGAAGAAACTTGGGGTTTCATTTGCTGTGCATTAACTTGATTAGCTTCAACATGTAAGAAATTACAAGTAGTAAAAAGGTAAGAAAGCCTAAATAGACCCTATTTTGATATTTTAGCCAGCATTGTTTACAGCATTCATTATGATGGCCTAGATATTTTTCTGATGATGGGAAGACTGAAAATGTTATTCTTGGTGTGCCCTTGCAACCCCAATATTCTAAATATTAAAAAATATTTCAATTCTTGAAAATAATTCATTTAAAAATGTTTTAGTGGGTGGTTAAGGCTAGAAAACTATGATGATGGAATGTTTTAAAATCTTATTTAAGATGAGAGAGAGGATGCTAGTTCTCCTTCAATACATTAAGATATGTAAATGATTACCTTGCTTACTATTTTTAAAGACCAATCACCATTTAGGGACTTCTTCATGGAATTAGAAAAGCGTGCATCAAATCTCCTTAACTAAAAGTAGGCATGTAAATGAAGATGTCACTGTCATTCAGAAGGCTACTAATTCTCTGGGGACATTTTAATTTCATGTTCATTATCTATAGGATCTCACAGCTCTTTCAGTTCAACTGTATGTAGTAAACTCCCTTCAGTGTTTAGCTGTATTCCCAGGTGTCTTTAAAACCTTCGGGGATCCCAGTATCATTTTATGGTGATAGACTCGTCTTAAGGATTCTGACTGTCAAGGAGAGAAACATATATCAGTATACTAATACACTGATAATAAAAAAATATTTTCATGCTTGTTACTTCTTCTGAGGCTCACAACATCATGGAAAGAGCAAAGATAAAAGAATTTATAGTTTAGAGGTAATAAAACAAAGGCTCAAAGAGATTTATTGACTTGTTCAAGATCAGGGTGCCAACAATATAATTTCATAGAGCTGGGTCCTATCTCAATATTTTGTCCAATGTAGCATATCCACTGAGAGACTAAATACTTTCATGATCAAAGGAAATGTTATTTTATAAATAAAAGAACAACTGCCTGATTGTCACTAATATAACATATTAGTCCTCTTAAAGAAAACATTAATGATGTGAGCAATCTTAATTACCTCCTAAAGGACAAAAATAATACCAAGTTTCCGGTGAGCCTCATTTAGATGATACTATGAGATATAGGGTTGTCTCTGGTAACTTTGTAAAAATGCATTACAACAGCAACATAACACATTCTAAAGGACTTCAAATTCATACTTCTCTTTAGTAATTTAATTTTTGGGAACTGAGCTAGACTTTATGGAGAACTTTTGATAAAGTGTAATTACTTGGACCTATAATTATGCTAATCAGGTTCAGGTGAATAATTATATGTTTAATTATGAAAACAAAACACCATGGAATTCTTAAATAGATGACCAGATTACCATGTCCCCTTTCTCAGGTGTTTTTAATCTAATCATTCATGGGTTTATCTGCTTTCTACTCTACCAAGAAGTTAAGAACTTTAAATCACATTTAATTATCTTTGAAAAAACAGTTTACAAATGTTTCTAGCTTAAAATTTAACTTTGCTGACTGATAAAGAAGAATGCTTTTCAATCTTTATCAACATTAATCTTTATATTATCACATTTATAAATTATTTTATATTCTCCCTCAAATTATTTTAATTATTTTTGTTGCATTATACTGAGTTCTATTTCAGGAATGTATTTTATATACATTATCTCATTTAATTTTTACAACAATGTCAGAATACTAAAGCTTAGAAAGCTTGTCCAGGTTATCACAGTGGACAAACCAGGATTTGGACCAAATTCTGTAAGGTTCCAAATTAGATTCTCTTAATGACTGTATTATGGGTAAATATATAGGTTATTATTTAGTTGTTAATATTGAAGTTCCTTGTTTGGTCCTCCAAAACTTTTATACCATGCACTTAAATAGTACTGAGAACTTCTTCCCTTTGCTATTTAAGAAGGTATACTTTACAGTCCTTTTCCCTTCTGACATACTAACAGATATGGAGACTATAAAGTATGTACAAATTCAGTTAAATTAACTCCTTGCTTTCAATTATAAATTTTAAAAATATTGATTACTGAATTTTTTCTTTCTATTCACTAAAGTAGGCTTTAGTTAAGTATCTTTTTATTCTAACAGAATTATAAAGCATATATATGTAAACATATCTATATCTATAAAATTATATGTCATGTATATTATTGTTATTTATATATGATTATATATAGTTTATATAATTTATATATTTACATATAGTTTGAAGGTCTTTTTCTCCACTTTTTAAACCATCACCTATAGGGGAAATATGAAAACATCTACATTTTTTGGTTTGTTTCTACTAAATTTACCTATTCTGAATATGTATCAGCTGTCTTAAAATATATTTAGTCTTTGATGAAGACTAAATAATAAATACATAAGCATAATTAAAAAGCCTGTTATATTTCTAGCCTCTAATTTTACTAAAAATGTCAATGATATTTTTTGATAATACTAAAGTAGGTAACAATAAAATAGTAATAAAAATAAACTCATTAACGTTTCTATTTTATTTATGGTGAACCTGAAGTACAGGGGAAGTAATTCGTGCTTATTCTAGGCCCTATTACTTAACATGCATCTCATGGGGAATCAACCAACTAGATTAAACAGAACCTAGACTCTCAATTTCAATTTAAGTTGTTTTTTTACAAATCAGATCTGACACAGGCTCTTCACAATGAACAAAATAAATACTTTTCATTAAAATTTCTTACCTGCACAATGTCCCTTTCAGCATATTTTCCTCTGGAGGAAACTCTTACATCATCTCCATCCAACTCAATCATTGCTTGAAAATAAAATAGAATCATTTATCCAGTGCATTTTAGTCATACACTAAAACAATGTAGGCACTAAGGAAATCAAGATATCTGAAGTAGCAATACATCCTACGTAAAGGCAGAAAGCTACTGATTCCTTCGTCTTCTTAGTCATTTCTCCCACAAAACTTGACTGAGTATAAGTTTTACAAATGAAGAAGTCAAGCTAAGAAAGTGACCCTTTGAAAGATGAGAAGAGCCAATGCAGTGCAGAAGTCTTTAGGGACATCTCCCCATCCTAAGGGTTCTCAAACCTGGGTTCTATGCTTACATAACTGTTTGGGCAAGTGATACTAACCCATTCAATTTTTTTTTTTTTTTTTGGCTGAGCCATCCTGCCACCTGTTGGCAGCTCAGTGGCAGATCAGCTCAGGCCGGGACTCAAACCGCTGTTGCTCAGAGCTTGCACTCTTGAGCGAGCTCTTAACCAACTGAGCCACTCAGCTGACTCTTTAACCCATTCAATTTTAATTTTTCTTTCTAATTTAAGAAACTTGGTGCTAACCATCATAGAATTTCCAATAACAATTTGAACTTTATTCTCATTGAAACTACAACAAAGCTATATATCCATATCGCCCAATTTCCAATTTATACCATAGGTTTAAAAACAAAGACACATTTGCTCGGCCCATATACTAATTGGATAAAGTGTGATTTTTTCGTATGATTTTTTGTTGGTTAAGAAATAATTTCAACATTACTTAGATCAGCTGGTATTTGGGAATGTTGCAATCTAATGGGACAGCTTGTGGTGATACAGTAATGTTATGCTGCAATTAAGAACATTTTCCAGAGTTTATTAGGTTTTCAGTAAGAGTGCTCTAAATAATTAATTACATGAGGAACACTAATTTGTGCTTAGAGTATAATTTTATTATGATAATTCATTTGTATACACAGGACATTCACTGTTCCAGAGGGCCACTTGCAATTATAATGTTTGTCTCTTAAACCTAAAAGTATTCTCAGTCAGAATACAATCCTCACCATTTCTTGCTGTTTTTCTTCAGTGCTTGGATAATGCATTTGGGTTAAAATCATTGTTCTAAAATTTACTTTTTTATACATGTTGATGAGTCAATGTCTGGGCTGAAGCATTGCTAGCACACATAATTAATAGAAAGACACCACTCAATTTGCTTAGCTATACAATATATGTCATAATTTAGTAAAATATATATACGACCAATAATAAGGTAATTAACTTATTCAAAATACAAAAGACCTATTTTTTTCTCCCCTACTTATTAGGGATGTAAATAAGAGAATTCATTATACTCAATAGTTAATTCCTCTTTTTGGCCTAGGTTTGTTTTCAAAATTTTCATATTACTTTGAGACAAAAATGTAGATTGGTGATGACATGCCAGCAATAGCAGAAAGTTCTCCTTTGTTATCTAATTTGCTAATTAAAGAAAATGACAGTTATTCAGGCAACAACATATTAGAATGAGATGCTATAAAATAGCTCCCACTTTTCAGCATGCCCTTTGGTTAGAAGGCTGTAGGTAGCAAGAACTGGAGACTACACTTTTGAGAGCCAGGAGAAAAGAAACGGCATGTAAGTGGTGGAAGGGTAACGTTCACCCTTCAGGTTTTCAGATCATCTGGTCCTCAAGGAGCCTAATGATGGAAGCCCTGATTCCCTACCAGTACCTCTCCTTGAAAAACAGATGTATTTGAGACAGACCTACACTACTTTCTAGCCATGGGAGACACGATGAAGTTCAAGCCCTTTCTATTTCTCTCCTTCAAAAGCGAGCCAAAGGAGGTAGCCAGGTGCTGCTTTAATTTGATTTTTTGCCTTTAAAGGACAAAGAAATCCTGCCTTGAGAAGTCTTTCTTCTTACTGAAGGTGCATTACAGAGGAGTGAAAAAAAATCACTGGGAGAAACTTATACAGAAACTTGTAAACTGTTCTTAATAAAGTACAGAAATAAGCAAACTGAATACTTATTCATCTAATAGTTTATTCCTATTTCCTCTACTTTCAAAGAATGGATGGCAAAGTATTACCTTTCTTGCCCATGTAAATAATGCCCTTCTGGTTAAAAATGTGTAGATATTGGATTTAGGTGGCTAACTGATAACATTTGCAAATTTTATTTCACTCTTTTCCTATGTCAGTTCATATGCGTGACATGTAAACTTGACTCTATGGTAGACTTGAAAGCGCCCAGAGAAAGACACTTCTGATAGGAGAGTAGTGATTTGAATGTAAGTCAGAGACTTTTCTATATTAAACATAAGTATTCCATCCTTTTCTTCTTAGCCATGGATGTGTTTTAAGAGGAAAGGAAAAAAAAAATCCTTTCGAGAAGCATCGACTGTGTCTTAGTGGGATAGCCTGCTTTTCTAGTACTGGCCTGGAAGATTCTCCACGCTATTTAAACTTCCGTCATGGTGAAAGCAGAAATCAGGGGTGGTAGGACCCTAATTTCCTGTTCGCATGTTCTCTACAGGCAAGTTTCACTCTAATACTCAGGAGGGAATCCTACTGGGAAGGCAACTTCCGTCTTTGTCTATCATCTTCATTCACTTTTCCACATGGGAAAAGGAGCGATTTCTAGGATTACTAAGATTAGAAGAAACTGACCTTGACTCTCTTATGGAGCAGGCTTTCCTCAGGTTGAAGGCCATTTCTCCCTGTGGCACACTTAATAGGCTGGACTCTGCCCCTTTATGGGAGTAAGCCTGGAGATAAGGTTGAGGTCATTTCATACTGGGGGGAAAGTAGTGAGAAGTCTGCCTCTGTGCACAGGTTAATCCAAATTCTCCAATTCTGCATTGCTAGTCATACAGCTTATATTCTGGTCTCTGTCTGAGTGCTTCCTGCATATCGTTTTTTCTTACTTCAGGAAGTCAGAGAGGGAAATGATGAATTATCTTACCTCAAAACCCTAATAAATAATTCACTGGGAACAAAAGAAAAGAACAAAATAAATAGCTGTGGCAGTTAGATGTGGGCAGTACCCAAATAGCTGTGCCTGCTGCACTGAATAGAAATATATGACTAGAAATATACACGAGGAAGGGTCAGTGCCTCCATAGTAAACATGATGTGTGGGGCTCTTGAAGAACAGGTGACTAAGGTTTACCATTTGAGTTCATACACCTAATGGTGGACTTCTATAATAGTCTGGGAGACCTGCGATGTACCCAACCAGAGGTGTATCCTTGGGAGGCAAAAGCAAATCAGTACCTGAAGAAGAAAGCATGAATCATTTTAAACCTAGCAATGGGTTAACCTACACGCTTAACCTAACCTGTAACATACCAAAGGTTGTTCCAAATATTCTAAAATTATTTTCATTTCCAAAGGCTAAAGATAAAGAAACTCATTGTTAATATAAAAACACCTGAACAATGTGAATGTTATGTGGTCAAATGCAGGTGCTGTCTAGCAGAGTTCTCTTAAAGGGATTTACTAAATAACTACGAGCAGACCATCCTTAAAGAAGTTTACCCAAGTCACTGGTTACACCAACACCAGTCACTTATTAGCACTCATACAAGGCCTGAGCCCAAACAGAAAACTACCTAGTAAGTCAATGCAGCATAATTATACAGTCTCATTAAATCTAAGATGGTCAGCTCCATTTTCATTTTACTTTGCTCTTTCATATGACAGGACTTTTATATTTATAAAGCTAATGTCTATCAACTAGCCAGGGTCTGAAAATCCATTAAAGTAGAATATTATGCTTGTGTTAACATTTCTATTCACAACCTAATGGTTTATTAATCTAGTGTGCACCCTTGAAAGTTTTCAGTGAACACAGAGAATATTTTGCCTTGGGAACAAAAACTCAATTTATTACTCTGTGAGTCTGAAAAAACATTATTTTGAAGTACATACCATTTCTAATGAAATGGAAAGATACACGTTGAATTAATCTACACTAGAGAGAGAATGTTCTAGTTAGAAGACAGTCTTTTAATTTGCTCACCTTAATAGACTTCACTGTGAGATATCTGTATTTATGTCTAAATGTACATGGACATTATATGCAAATCCACATGCACACTCACATTCATATATTTTAACAAGAGTGATAGAAACTTAAAATCATGATGAGTCAGATTAAATAAACTCTCAAGGAATACAACTGAAATTTTATTACTCACCATCAAATTCTGCTGGTCCAACACCTACTATAATTATTGACATTGGAAGTTTTGAAGCCTTCAAAGAGAATACACAATTAGTTCACAATTAAGAAATTGAGTTCTTAAGAATTAAGAACTTAATATCCTGTTTTATTTGATATTTTTCACAGATGCTCATTAAAATAGTTTTGAACATATTTAAAAATAACACAGAATAATATCCTTGATTCTACTCTTGAGCTTTCTGAACTCTGTACATATGTTAATTCAGTGGGACATTCTTCAGAAATGACCAACCTTGGGTAATATAACAAAATAAAAGGTATCGAACATCAGCTTTCATTTGCTATTATCAGCCAAAGTCTACCTGAGCTGACTGTGGGTATCTTTGGTCTCTTTTTTTCATGTTCTCTCTCCTCTCAAAAATCTTTCATTTGCTAATGAGGAAAAAATGGTATCATATTTGAGAAATAGTAGTGCCCTATTCTACCTCATTTATACCCAAGGTTAGAAAAAGCAATTTTCATAGTAAATGAGTGAATACAAATGATAATTACAGAAAGTTATTATTAGTATGATTAATTTGTATACTAAATATCCATGAGATTGTGAGGAATACTGAATATTTGATGTTATGGCATGTTTTCCCATTATATGTACCACTTAAATGATATCATCATTTTAAATAATTTAATGGTAAAAATGTGAGATCCAACAACAGATAAATGGAACACTACAGCAACCACTTCTTCAACTATTGAATTATGAAAAACTTGTTGCTCATTGCATCATGTTCTATTAGTTTAAACCTAAATTATTAAATCCATAGTTTAAACTGAACACTAATGCACTGACCAGAACATAACAGAAATCAATATAAATTTAACCCAAGTGTGTCTAGTTAAAAAATAAACAAATAAATTTATGAGCTTTTATTCCTCTTCCTTTTTATATATTCACGTGAAGGTGGTGCTATTAGCTTATTTATTTTTACATTTTGAAAACAATTTTGTTACAACTGAATTATCCACACCCTTAGCTTTGTCCTCATGGGTTAATGGTACAAATGTGTCTGAGTTGTCTGGGTAATGTTAAGAATGCAATTGGCTCCAAAGACAGGGGCATTTCATTTCCCTGTTAAGTCAATAGACTCTAGTCTCAACCTGAGTAGCACAAAGTTGTCACTTAGCCAGCCCAACACTGAATGACTCCTACTTACGTTAACTATAGACTCCTTAGTTTGAGCCATATCGGAGATAACACCGTCTGTCACAATCAGGAGCACAAAATACTGGGAACCATCCTTTACAGAGGATGCATATCTAAAAGGGAACAAAAAGGTAAAGAAAACCATAGAAAATAAAACAGTTCTTCTATGTGATGATTGCTAAGTATAATTTGGAATTGTCAACAAACCTTTGAATCTCCAGAAAACATTTAAACATATGCGAGGGGCCTATACCAGGCAAATTCTCAAACGTAACATTTTCCTGGAAGAGCACACTAGAATAACAGCAACATTACTGCAGGCTGAGTACATAATAATGCCTAGGTGTCTTAGAAGTTCATTCGCTAATAAAAGGTGAGAGAGTGTTTAGTGGGATGGATGTAACTTGAAAATAAACATCCTGGCTGAGCAACACATTACGTATATGAATTGGTAAATTACTTAAGCTATCTGAACTTTATTTTCTTACCTTTAAAATCAAGATAGCATACTTTTGTATAAAGCAACTGTATGTATGATGCTTAATGTATAACAGTTCTATATGTGTGAATAATAATCATAAACGCTTTTCATTTTGGAACTAGACAGAGGTGACTAGACAACATTGTGAATGTCACTGAACTGTATACTTTAAAATGGTTACTTTTACATTATGTGAATTTCATCTGAATAAAAAGATGCAACAGAAGGAAGGCTTTTGACACATCCATAGTTCAAGTTCTTAATACATGATAAATTGATAAAAGATGGAAAGGAGAATTATACCCAAAAAAGACAAAATTGGGTTATGTAATAAGAACATATTCTAGTACATGGAGAAGTTTATCAGAATTCTCACCAAATAACACTCAGTAATTTAGAGGGGAATTTTATGAATGTTATATTTTATTATATCTCTTTTTTTCCATCATGTTGTACATTCTGGGTATCTAGATTATATTCTCAATAAATATGGCTTTTATGAACTTTAGTACATAACTAGTATGGAGGTCATATCTAGTAATGAGCAAGACCCTAAGGAATTAAGTTAGAACAGGTCAGGGACAGATGAATAACAATATATCAGGGAAAAACTTATTTCTTGGAGAGAAGAATTAACAACCATATGTGAACAAGAAAAATATTTACAACTTTGCCATAGACTACAGAAACTAATAATTGCTTATGCTACTAATAAAATGACTGGTAATTTTATAGGTTGATAAAGACACTACAGCACATGGCCTGTTCACACCCTGTAAAGATACTGTTGAACTGGTTCCACAACATATAGTGAAAAATACTCCCACAATACTGAACAGTTGATCTTGGACATTAAGAAATTTGTATTAATTTGATGGTAACACAATCTCTAGAAAATGCTCCAAAGCAGATATAAGCCTCTTCTATTTTACACTTAACTTTTTTCTTAAGAAAAGAAGTTAAATAATCTCCCTCAGGAATTCATTTTTTAATTTTTAAATACCCATTTTTTTTAAAGTATCTTTCCACTAACTTTGCTTCCAAAACATAGGGCTTTACATTTCATGTGATTAATGGAAGGCTATAAATAGTAGTGAGAAAAGCTCCTATGAATACAACAGCAAGACTTTTATGCATTTCTTTCCACACGGTGCTCTTAAAATGGCAAATTTCTACCAGATTCATAAACCATATAGATAGTTGAGTATTATGCAGTCTTATAAATACCACTTCAAGTGGCTTAATAGACTGAGTTCCTTCCTTCCTTCCTTCCTTCCTTCCTTCCTTCCTTCCATTTACTTTTTATTTCTGTTTCAATGCTTCTGGTTACCTATGGAGAAAATTTCAGTTGTTGGCATGTCTTTTTACTCCAAGCTTTATTGAGGTATAATTGGTATATAGAAAGCTGCACATAGTTAATGTATACAATTTGATGAGTTTCAATGTATGCATACACTTGTGTTACCATCAAAACAATCAAGGTAATAAATATATCCATAACCTCCAAAAGTTTCCTTGTATCCCTGTGTGTGTGTGTGTGTGTGTGCGTGTGTGTGTAGAACATTTGATATGAAATCTATCCTCTTAACAAATTTTTAATGCACAATACTTTATTGCTAACTATAGGCTCTGTGTTGTACAGATCTCCAGCATTCACTCATCTTGTACATATGCAACTTTATGCCCATTGAACAACTACTCTATGTAACCCTTTTCCCCAAGCCCTGGTAATCACCATTCTACTGTCTACTTCTACATGTTTGACTATTTTAGATGCTCATCTAAGAGGAATCGTGCAGTATTTGCCCTTCTATGACTGACTTATTTCACATAGCACAATGTCTTCTGTTCTGCCCATGTTGTTGCGAATGGTAGGATTTCTTTCTTTTTTAAGGCTGAACACAATATCTCATTGTAGATATGCACCACATTTTATTTATCCCTTCATTTGTTGATGGATATTTGGGTTGCTACCATTTCTTTTCTGTTGTGAATAATGCTGCAGATGTCTCTTCGAGATCCCGCTTTTAATTCTTTTGGATATGTATACTCAGAAGAGGGATTGCTGGTAACTCTATTTTTAGTTTTTGAGGAGTCTATATTGTTTTTCATTGTGGCTGTACCAATTGACATTACCACCAAGAGTGCACAAGGTTTCCACTTTCTCCACATCCCCACTAACACTTGCCTTTTGAGTTTTTGATAATAGCCACCCTAACAAGCGAGAGGTGATAGCTCACTGTGGCTCTGATTTGCATTTCTCTGATTAGCAAGGTTGAGTATCTTTGTGTATACCTGTTGGTCATCTGTATGTCTTCTTTGGAAAAATGTCTGTGCAAGTCCTTCGCCCATTTTTTTTAGCTGGGCCATCCTGCCACCAGTTAGCAGCTCAGCTCGGGCCCATGTGGGAATCGAACCGGCGAACCTGTTGCTCAGAGCTCGCACTCTTGAATGAGCTCTTAACCAACTGAGCCACTAGGCCGGCGCTTCTTTGCCCATTTTTAAATTTGGGTTGTCTTTTGCTATTGAGTTGTAGGAGTTACTTATATATTTTGGAAATTAACCCTTTATCAGCTGTAGGGGTCACAAATATTTCCCTGCATTTCATAAGTTGCCGTTTCATTTTGTTGGTTTCTTTTCCTGTGTGGAAGCATTTTAGTTTGATCTAGTCTCACTCAATATTTATTTTGCTTTTGTTGCTTGTGCATTTGTTGTCAGACTCGATAAATTATTGCCATGGCCAATGTTAAGAAGCTTTAACTATATTTTCTTATAAGAGTTTCGCAGTTTCAGGTGTTAGGTTTAACTCTTTAATCCATGTTGAGTTAATTTTTGTGAGTGGTGTAAGATAAGGTTGCATTTCATTCTTTTGCATGTGGATATCCAGTTTCCCCAATGCCATTTATTGAAGAATTTACCTTTTCTCTATTGTATAGTCTTGACACCCTTGTCAAAGGTCAATTGACTGTACATGTGAAGTTTTTTTCTGAACTTTCTTTTCTGTTGCATTGATCTATATGTTTACATTTTATGTCAGTACATTGCTGTTTTGATTGCTGTAGCTTTGTAGCAAATTTTAAAATCAAGCAGTGTTATGCCTCCAGCTTTGTTCTTCTTGCTCAAGATTGCTTTGGCTATTTGGGATCCTTTGTGGTTTCATATAACTTTTAGAATTATTTTCTCTAGTTCTGCAAAAAAAAAAAAATTGCCATTGGGATGTTGATACGTATTTCATTGAATCTGCAGAACACTTTGCACAGTATGGACATTTTAACGATGTTAATTCTTGCAATCCATGAAGACAGGATGTCTTTCCATTTATTTGTTTCTGCTTTAATTTCGTTCATTGGTGTTTTATAGTTTTCAGTGTAAAAGTCTTTCGCCTTCTTGCTTAAGTTTATTCCTAAGTATGTTATTCTTTTTTGTGTGTTATTGTAAAGGAGATTACTGTCTTTTCTGGTACTTTGTTGTTAGTTTCCATTTATTTTTGAGTATTCCTGATTTCCTTTTGTTATTGATTTGTAGTTTTTGTTTGTTTGTTTGTTTTTTCCATTGTGGTCAGAAGAGATATGTTGGAATGATTTCAATCTTAAATTTGTTAAGACTTGTTTTGTGACCTAGCATGTGATCTATCCTAGAGAATATTCCATGTGTGCTCGAAAAGAATGTGTATTCTGCGGCTGTTGAATGTTCTGTAATGTCTGTTAGGTTCCTGTGGTCTAGAGTGTTGCTCAATTTTGCTGTTTCCTTATTGATTTTCTGGATGATATATCTATTGTGAAAGTAAGGTATTAAAGTCTTCTAATATTATTGTATTACAGTCTAGTTCTCACTTCAGATATGTCAGTTTTTGTTTATATATTTAGGTGGTTTGATTTTAGGTGCATACATATTTATACTTATATCTTTCTGGGAGTTGATCCTTTAAAAATTTTTTATTCTTTTTAATAAATTATATTTATTTAAGGTATACATGATATCATACACACACACACCCAGAGGGTGCCAAAAAAGTGTATACACATTTTAAGGAAGGGAAACTCTAATAAAATTGTAATACTCAACATATATCAATCAAAAAAGATGAATACAAGTCACATTTGACTTCTGCAATTACAAGAAGTGCTCAAGTGGTTGCCGTCAGCGTCCAGACACTTCTGATTACCGCGAACTGCTGCTTGAGCAATGTTGACCAAAGCATCCACTTGTATACATTTATTTTGGCACCCCTGTGTGTGTGTGTGTGTATAATATATATATATATATATATGTATAATATATATAAGACATATATATTATACATTAATATATATAAGACATATATATTATACATATATATATTTAGAGTTATTACAGTCAAGTTAATTAACATACATCTCACATAGTTACCACAGTTTGTGTGTGTGTGTGTGTGTGTGTGTGTGTGTGTGTAATCAGTGTACCTGAAATTTACTCTCTTAGCAAATTTCCAGTATTCAGTATAGTATTAACCACAGTAATCATATAATACTTTAGATCTCTAGACTTATTCATCCTACATAAAACAACTTTGTACCTTTTAGCCAAAATCTCCCCATTTTAATTTCTTCCACCCTTGGTAACCACCACTCTACTCTCTGCTTCTTTGTATTT